ATAGCCCCTGGAACTGTCTGCCTCTAGAGGTGGGTTTTATCTGATGGCTTGAGTGACATTTCAATTTCCGGCACAATTTCTTTGCCAAACAGCTGTCACCTCTTAGTGATAGAAAACAGTCAATTCGATTTCTGAAACCATTGCTGTTAGGAAGAGGAAGCAGCTGCATAGCCACCTGCTGATTCGTGGGGCCTTTCCACTGCGCCACTGACCTTCAACCTCCTACACACACTCACTCAAGCAGTGGACACCTCCCAGGTCCTGATGGGGATGATATGCCCCATGATAGGATTGAAAAATATTATTAATAAACAATTAATTAGAAATTATTATTAATAATAAATCCCATAAGATAACGTATGAAGGATTTTCATTCTTGATTTGGTACCTTATGCATAGACTACAAAATGAACAGAGCCCTGCTCAGCTTAGATGTTGCTGCAAGTGTTTCCCACTGCCCCCGTGGATATTCTGAAGAACTCTACTGTTACTTGAAAACAACTCAAACTCCAGGGTTTGAATGGAGGAATAAGTGAAAATTTTCTTTCCTTTTTCTGTAGCTTCAAAACTGCATACTGTTTGTTAGAAAATTTCCACCATTCTTGTGAAACACTAAATTATTGCACTTCCTCCAGATTCTATCAACACTTATGAGATAAAGTTCACAGAATGTGATTTTGTCTCTAACGAGCTCAAGATATCAGTCAAAACAGTGAGCTGTGGCCGGGCAAAGTCAAGCTAGCACATTTTTAAGCCTAATTATTAAGAAGTAAAGGAATTATGACATTCCTCTCTCTGAGATTTCTGATTCCAAAGTTTCTTTTCAGAGTTTAAACTGGGAGAAAAGAGAGAAGTTGTAGGGATAGTGGAGGAAGAAGTGAGAGAATGAAGAAAGGAAGAAAGATAGAGGGTAAATGTATGCTACAGCTTATAATAAAGACAAGTTACTCAGCACTCACTAGGAGCCAGGTACTGTAATAATAACTTAATGTTGTTTTAACATCTCAGTAAGGTCCATGTTTTCACTCCTAATTCACGGAGCGACTTGGGAGGATAACTGGTCTATCTTAGTTACACGGCAGCAAATGGTAAACCCAGGACTGAAAGCCAAACTCTTGCTTTTTTTTCTTTTTTTCGCCCAGGCTGGAGTGCAGTGGCATGATCTCTGCTCACTGAAACCTCCACCTCCCGGGTTCAAGTGATTCTCCTGCCTCCGGAGTAGCTGGAACTACAGGTGCTGGCCACCACGCCCAGCTATTTTGTATTTTTAGTAGAGACGGGTTTTCACCATCGTGGTAGGCTGGCCTTGAACTCTTGATCTTGTGATCCACCCGCCTCGGCTTCCCAAAGTTCTGGGATTACAGGTGTGAGCCACTGCACCTGGCCTCAAACTCTTGCTCTTAACTACTATTCTCTCTAGAACTTTGCTTAAAAATAAAGAGCAGCTGGTGACATGGTGAGCAGCAGGAGCCATCGAGTAAATGACTGAGACAGAAGATGTTGGGAGGGGAGATGAGGGAGACAAATGTCACAGAAGATGAATGGGTGGGATTACAGAGGAGAGGTTCTTTTGTAATTATAGTCCACTGTACCATGCACACATACACACACATGCACATGTGCACGGCTTCTCCACGGCAAAGCTGGATACTGCCCGGCCCTGCCCCTCATGGGACTGATGCCATCTGTTCAGGCCTTTCCCCTTGGACAGTTAGTAGGTGTCCAGCCTCTACACTCCTTGACCTTCCTTCATCTTCCTGCTACCCAAATACAGGTGTTCCTCAAGGCACAGCCTTGCTACCCTGGATGAACACAGCAATTTCTGCACACAGCCATCACATTCAAAAGGAGACCCTCCAGACCCGTGTCTACAGCTGTCAGTTCCTCGCTCACCTCTCAACTGAGGCATCCCAGATTTCACCCGGCAGCCGTCCGCCCAAACTCAAACCAGCTCCCTCATCTGAATTGTGGCTGACTTCCTTTCAGTCACTGTGACTCCAGGTATTGAGGTTCTTTCTAATCAGGTTCCACTCCTCATTCACTCTAGTTCAACACCGACCTCGCAGCCACTACTGCACTGTTGCAGGCAAACACTGTATCCTCACCACTGCCGTCCTGGGCAGGAACGTCCACCTGGGCCCCTTTTAGAACCTGTTACCTGCCTCTCTCAGGCAGCTTCAACCCCTCACTCACCCTCACATGAAGTCATCTTTCTGAGACTCAGGCCTTAAGAGCAAAGTTGTCTTTAAGAGTTTTCAATTACCAAAAAAATAAGTACCCGTCACCCAAGGAGTTATCTGCCGATTGCATCGTCCTCACACCGAATTCCCTGCCATTTCTTCTGAGGCCGGTCACATCCCTCTGCCTTGGCAGCCACCACATGATATTTTAACAGCAGCACTGAGGGCATGCCTGCTGGCAGGCTAGACTCTGAACATGCAGGTGGTGATATATCATTCCCTGCAGGATATAATCCTCGTGATCAATATTTATGTCTCTACATCTATTTTATCTCTTTTTTTTTTTTTTTTTTTTTTTTTTTTTTTTTTTTTTTTTTTTTTTTTTTTTTTGCCTGCTGCTGAAGCCATTTCTCACTGATTTCAACTCCACTAAGTTATTTTATCTCTTTTTTTTTTTTTGAGACGGAGTTTCACTCATGTTACCCAGGCTGGAGTGCAATGGTGCGATCTCGGCTCACCGCAACCTCCGCCTCCTGGGTTCAGGCAATTCTCCTGCCTCAGCCTCCTGAGTAGCTGGGATTACAGGCACGCGCCACCATGCCCAGCTGATTTTTTGTATTTTTAGTAGAGACGGGGTTTCACCATGTTGACCAGGATGGTCTCGATCTCTTGACCTTGTGATCCACCCACCTCGGCTTCCCAAAGTGCTGGGATTACAGGCTTGAGCCACTGTGCCCGGCCTATTTTATCTATCTCTTATCCCTGACATCTGTGCTGAAATCTCTGCTGCAGCTTGATAGAACACATTGTCACCTACTCCACCACAGATGGAAAATCAAATTCACAGCAGTGTGTGGACTTCCTAGAAGGCAGCTTAGGAGCCGGGCAAACAGAAGCATGGCCACAGGATTTTACTGCGTATTAGTCCAAAGGGTCTCTTCCTTCAATCTAGAATGTAGCCTCAAATCCCACAACGCGGATAGCCGGGTCAAGGCCCTGTTCAACTGCGGAGGCCGTCATTAGGATGATACTACAAGAGATTGGGTCTGGGGGACAAGACTTAAAGATGGCAAAACTTTCCCGAACCGACAGTAACAGGGACTCTTTCGTCACACAAAGGGAAAGCGCCCCTTTCTCCTTATGTGCCTGCGTTTGCAGTCCTGCTTCAGCAGCATGCTTCCTCTTAGACAGGAGTCTGAGTTGAGCACAATCCAACTGTCTGTGGCACCGGGGCGTGAGCACACAGGCACAGCCTCAGCTCTCCCGCTTCCTCTCCATTCTCGGTCTCACTCAGCAGCCTCTGCAACGGTGTTAGTGCCCGGGTCCATAGACAGTCCTTTCTCATCCTGCACCAGGACTTGGGGAATTGCACCTCCTTCTGCTGGGAATACCAGGAATGCACTGGGAATACCATCTCTCCTTCCCTTCATGTCCCAGCTCGGTTTCACTACAGCCCAGTTTCCCTCCTGTAACTGCCCTCACTAATTCAACACTACTGATCATCTTCTGTAGCTCCCACAGTACAAGGGGCTTTGAGGACCATTCATATCCCTACTGCCACAGCGGACCTGAGGTCTAGTTTTTCATAACATTTTAATTTGAAGGATCAAACAAATTCCTAGCATTGAGAGGAGAAGCGAAGCCAGTCAGTGCAGGTGAGCACTCACCTGCTCTCTGTCTGTGCAGCAGGCACGACGTGTGTGCCATCTACATCCCATTTCAATCACTGCGGAAAACCGAGAGGTTCAGAAAGATTAAGAGGTTCACCTCGTCCAGGGACTGGAGTACAAGTCCATGGGGTAAGCTACAGAGACACCCAATGCTGGTCCACATGGAGAGGAGGCTGCTTCCTCATAAGCCTCTGGATGTCATAACTTAATGCTCTCAAAAGTAATGAACAGTTTCCCTTTTTTTAAAAAAACTATTTTACTGGAAGCATTCCCCTTGAAATCTAGCACTAGACAAGGATGCCCTCTCTCACCACTCCTATTCAATATAGTACTGGAAGTTCTAGCCAGAGCAATCAGGCAAGAAAAAGAAATAAAGGTTATTCAAATAGGAAAGGAGGAAGTCAAATTGTCTCTATTTGCAGATGACATGATTGTATATCTAGAACACCCCATCATTTCAGCCCAAAATCTCCTGAAACTGATAAGCAA